TATGAAGGCCTATTGACCATAACTCTTTCTGCCCGTTTCTAAACTATTTTTGTATTTATTTAGAGGAATACATATAAAAAAGAGCCGAGGAATTTAAAATCAATAGATATTATAAAATTCTGTTATGAATTATTATGTCGTCGCAAAATTAAGAAAATGAATTATAATCACATCATAATATTATTAAACGCGTATTTTTTATAATTATATTTAATGACTTGTTATGTTATAAATAAGAATAGTATAAAATATGGAGAGAATTAAAGTATTTTGTTAATTAATAGTCCAGGAATGGGATATTTCCATAACTACGGATTCCGCGTAAACTAAACCACTTCGAGGATAGAGGAACAAACCAAAATGTGATATATGGAGTTCACTGTTCCGCAGAAATATTTAAATGAGCTTCCGCGTTATGTTAATTTTAATTAAAAGAAGGGCCGACATTAAAATTCTCATATTTCAGGTTTTATTTAGGGCAAGAGAGTCTAAAAACGGAAGGAAGGTGGAAGGAACAAGAGGCCGTAGAAACGCGGTAGGTCCTCCGGGCGTTCCGTACTTTATAAAGAATACTTTGAAATAGCACTAAAGGATAGAATTACAAAGGACGATAAAGATTTATCAAGAACGTCGAGTTTGTTTCCATAATGTTTAATTTAAAGAATAAGGTCTCATTGTTCGAGACAACGAGGTGTGACAAAAAAAGAGAAAAAGGAAAGAGGAAAGAATAATGGGGGCGACTTAAACATTTTGTTTATACCTAGGCTGAGATGACGCGAGGTCGAGTAACCGAAATGCTTTTGCATAAAATCGGCTTCTGAATAATAAACCGTGATAAATACAGGAGCGCGCTGCAATATAACGGAGCTACGAAAATGTTCCTTTGCTATGTATGTACGTATACAGCAAAGACGTTAAAAACGTCCTTAATGTTACGCGACGGTACGATTTATGCGGTCACATTTCCTTCTGCGAAATTATTACCTAATCTCGGCCATGGAACAATTTCTTCTTGCACCACAAGATTATCAGAAAAATATGTGTATATATATTTTTAAACGCCATGAATATTAAATCATATCGCGATTTATAAATCAATATAACAGCATTGCATATATATGGCTTTCAGAAAACTTTCTATTTATTTTTGCATTAAATGTTGAATTAAGTAACCATATTTGAAATTTAACACACACTACGATAGCAACTAATAGAATATCAATGTGTATTTGAATAGTAGTAAGGGAAATGTATTTAAATACGAATTCAAGAATGTATTCATGCCAGACACTCTGTAGTGGCAAAGATTGAATCATGTGTCAATATATGTAAAAAAAATATACGCCCTTGTTTTGGGTTTCTTTAGTATATTTAAAAGTTTGTAAATAAATTCTTAAATATTTAAATTTCTGAATGAAGTGAACCCAAAGGAAGGTATCAGCAAATTGAAAGTTGGTATATGTAAAGAGATGTAAGCACTTACAAACAACGTTGAGTTTGAAAGAGTCCTCCTGGCCCACTCCAGGTAATTTGGGGTTGTCGCCACGGCACTTGAGAAATGTGCCGTCGTCCTCTGGGACCGGTGCAAATGTCACCGAGCTCATCACAGCAGTCTCATTGCCTTCCTCTACGATCTGGAAAGAAGAAATTAATACAATACGTTGAACGTTTCCGATTTGAAAATGCAGCGGATGGCCCCAAGGGCGTCGCGACGCTGAATGTCTTTTCAATTTGACCGTCCATTCCGGACTGATGGCCCTGAGGCAGCGACGGAGTCGAGATATCTTTGAAATTTAAGAAAACTTTCTAAGCGACCGCCGCATTTACATACAAAGGAACTTTCATATCGTCCCCCTTTCAGCTTGATGTAAATGATGGTGGTCACAAAACGAACAACATTAAACCACACATTTCACCCGGCTTTTCAACCCAAAAATGGAACGATAAACGCGAGATACCCAAAGTATTTTTTGAAATATAAACAAATATTAAGGTTTTGCGAAACGTTTCCATTGGCTAAAATAATTTGAAGTTTCAAAACACATTTTCAAATAATTTCTAAGTAATATAATTGTAAATAATGGAAAATTTGAAGGTTTAAAATACGAAATAAAAATCTTTTACATATTTATTTGATATTATTATGAAAGGCAATGCGTCTCTGAAAATATGAAAAAAAAATGCAATAAAAACATAAAATAACATTTCTTATCAATAATAATAATGAACAAAATATCAACTGCTGCAAAGGGCTATTATTCTCCCCAATATTATATTACAAACAAATTCCAATTAGAACTATTTCATTATGAAATGCATTTTATAAAAGTCAAAATTGCTGCTTGAATTTAAATTTTTACTATGAAAATAATATTTCTGGTATAATTTGGACAATACAGGGAGCAAATTGAGAACAATCAACAGTCGAAATTAATATTGTTTTGTTCTGTAGTTTAAATTGTTGAGTTTATTAGTAAAATAGTTTCAATTAAATCCCGAAATGGAATGGTTTGCGTTGGAATTGTATTTCGTGCTGTGAACGGCGCCCCACTTTACTTTTCCTCTTCCTTATTTTGGCAGTTCAAGTGGAGGACATTCCAGAAAGTCTGCATGTCACGCGGTTAAATCTTTCGTCCTGCTTGCAAAGTCCGTGGACTTTACAAATATCCCCACTAAACTATATACATATAATATGTATGTGTGTATATGTTTGACAACATCAATGAATTATTTATACAGCAAACTTTACAATTTCTAGATTTTATTTGTCGTTTCATTATTAGGTCCGATACAGTATGTAGAATGCATCTCGGTTTCTTCCTTATTTTTCTCTTCAAGTTTGTTAAGTTTGTGCGCGGGAGACCTCGAAATGAGGTTGCTGCGGTCGTAATAAAATCTGGATTTATTTGTCCTCTGGGACTTAAATTAAGGCACCGCTGGGAATTCGTAATACGTAGTAACATACCTGTTTTTTTTTCAAATATTAGAATTTACTAAATACTAATTATGATAATCATACGCATAAAATATATAATTTTTAATCATTGTATTTTTTATATTCTGAATATTTTAATTTTAAAGTGGATTTTTTGCATGTGGAAAAATATATAAAATTAAAATTACGAAATTGTATTTGTGGTTTTATTTTTAAAGTAAAAAAGTAGTCTAGTAAAAAATAATAATAGTTACTTTCGTAAACGATTATTTATGGAATTGGTGCCCTTTCCACATGGAAGCAGTAAAACTCTGTATATTTGGGAAAATTAGTTTTAATTCGAGGCCGAAATGAAACAATGGTATTTCCGGTAATCTGGAAACCCGATTAAGACCAAGTGCGCGTTACACGAAACCTAGGGTTTCGCAAAGCCGTCTACGTTAACGGAGGCAGCGAAGGGTGGATTATTTTGTGTTTCCCTTTTCTTTCCATCCTCCCTGTTTTCTTCCCGGTATCGATTTCGTAGAAGTTATTTCTCGTAACAAAAAAGGAAAAAAGCAAAACGCGTATGGCATTATTATCATTTCCCACATTTACTTTTTTATTTGTTTCGATAATTCTTCCGAATTAAAAACTGCGAACATTTAGGGCTGGGAATTGGAAATGCTCCAAGGTATTTATATATTTATGAAGGGAATGATGTGAGGGTCGATTTTAAAATGTAAATCTCACCTTTCCACGTCTGAAGGGTCGATTATCCCTTGTCCAAATAACGGCTGCCCGAGGTCGCGATCCGACGACTTCGCATTGCACCAAATATTCCTGATCCGCAACCATCTGGATAGGCTTTTTCACTATTGACACACTCAACGGACGAACTGAAAGCAGAGAAAAAAAATCACTTACAGTAAGTGTGTTTTTATTTCAGATTCGCAAGGCGGAAACTTACGGAGGAGCTCCAAGCGTACCGTCTTCTCGGCCGGCATCATGAGTTTCGTGTTACTTGCTTGACACTTGTAAGTTGAGTTTAATTGTTCTCGCCGGACTCCTGTCACCTCCAGCCTGTTGACCATCACATGGTTCCCGATGGCCTCCAGCTGTCCCTCGACCAGTCTCTCGTTTATGAACCATGAAACCGTCGGTGTCGGTCTCCCTGTAACCAAATTATCACTAATTGTAATAAACAATTTCTATTCATTGAAACATACACTAATTTTCGGCTACAGTCTTAAGTAAACATCAATTAGGATAAATGTATTTATAGTTAAATCTACCGTGTGAATTTAGTGAATTGCGATCATCGATCGCAGGATCCCAATTACATCCCTATAATTGGATTAAATCATACCCGTTCATCTTAATAAAATTCAAGTATTGTTAAGTATATAGTGAGTCCTAAGTTGTTAAATCGATCGAAAAGGTTGTACGCATCAAAACTATATTTATTCATTTATTTGAGTTATTACTTGAAAATACTTTTCTTTCTCAGAACATTATTAATATGAATTTATAACAGTTTGTATACTTCAGAAATTTATATTCGATTTGTATTAAAGTACATTCTAAATGCATAAGTATTTTATGATATTTGTAATGCTTACGGTCACTGTCACTTTTCTAGTGCTTATCAACCACTAATACTTTCTAAGTAAGAAATTTGAAGGAAAATAAATGAATTGTGTATAGTATCGTGAGGTGACGGTATTCGTATTCGAGACATTTTCCTTCTTTTGAGATAACCTTGTTGCGGTGACTTGGGTAATATATAATTTCTTTTATGATTATTATTTATAAGGCATACATGAAATGGTTGACCGATCGTTGGCGGAGCGCGCGGTCTGAATAAAATCCTGCTTGGAATCGATATCTGCGGGGTTGGATGGACACGCAACTAGCAGGTGTGTTGCGATTCGAACCACCGCAGACCTCCTCTCACGTGGAGGTGCCATTATGTGAGATCTCTGTGGTATGTTTTGCAGATTACAGATTACATTATTATGGGAGTATATTAAAGACCAGCAGTTCTGTCTGTATGCTACAATTTACTTATTTTCTCAACCAAATTGATTCATATTCAATATACAATAGATTAATATATATGATTTATCGATAAACGAAATAGAAATTTATTAGTCGAAAGTACAAGAATGATATGAAATATGTAAAATTGGTAAAAAGTCCAATTAACTTATTTATTTTTATAATTTCATTGCCAGGTTCAATATTGTAATTATGTATTTATTTATATAATTGTAGTATGGATTTTTTTTACACCTATGTTATCTTCATGGTTAAAACATATAATTGCGATATTATTACGAAGTTATTTTCTTTCATTTTAATATATTGAAAACAATGTATTTGCTTCAACTTAATACCTCGGCCTTGGCGACTGATTAAAATATTAAATAATTGTGGTAAGAGCATTAAAAACAAGTATACTCATTAGTTGTTTTTTTGGCTTATAATTAAATCAGGCGTATTTTGTTGCTAGAAATGGTAACGCCTTAAAGCTTCGTGTCAGCATTATAAATATGTATGCTTTCGGTCTGCGTGAGAGAATAGGAAAATACCCTCAAACACACAGACATACAAACAAATATATAATGAATAATGAATTCTTGACTGATGACTTCATTTTGAAATCGTAAAAAAAATCGAATTGCAAATGAATCGTAATAAAATGTGCTCAGCGTTACAGACGTGCGAAAACACTGATTAACCCGAAAAGACTACCGGATGCTACTACCCTCGTCACGGAGCTCCAAACAGAACACTCCCAAAAACGGGGTTTCACCGTGCTTCAAAGACCGCTCGAATTACGGTGTCTCGGGGCCCATCTCAAACGACACTTTGCGGGCACATTTAATGCACACACTCACCAAAATCCTATATCGCGAAAGCATCCCTAATGCGTTTCAGATAGGTTGTGGCACAATGCTATCCAGGGATATATAAAACGGATAAGAGACTTTCCTAGCCTAAAATGAACTTTTTTTTACCATCTCTGTCGTCTCCGATAAATGCGAATTGCCAAATGCTTTCCTCACAGCACACCACTTTAATATTTGTATCAAAACAAATATACCAGTAAATACTTATTATATATACTTTATACTAGAATTATATAATGTATAAAATACAAAAAAAAAGCGTAATTGCAGTAGAGAATAATCAAAGTATCACAATGCGCTGGGTTTAATACAGTGTATTTCTTGGAAGATGATATATTATAGCAGCAAAATTACTTTAAGGAAAAGAAAGGAATTTCCACTCTGTTCGAAAATACAAAGCAATCGGTGTAGGTGGTCGAGGAGATGAAGGTGTGAATCAACGTGGAATCTTTTCCTTAATTCTACCGCGTTTCTTCCCTTACGTGAGCGATGAAAAGGGGAGCTACGATCGAAAGGAAAACACAGAGTAGTAGCGTGTCAACCGTTTATTTTTCATCGATGTTTCGCGCACTAAATCAATTTAATTCCATTTGCCACACGAAAGGCCTATATGAATAATGCACGTGCGTCTCTTAATATTTGTAATTTGTATTCGAATGTTTGTATCAGAAAAACGGAATTCAACGTAATCATCGCAGTTTACATGCAAATACTGCACAAATTGCGGAACCATAATTTGTTGCAGCTGTAAAACACATTACGGAAATTATACACTTTTGAAAAATAATATTCAATGAATACAGGAATTCCAAAAAAATATATTCATAACCGAAGCATGTCAACGTCGGGTATTCATTTACGCTGTGCAAAGATTTATCATCGCCCAAATTTCCATTCCTAACCAATCAATCCCATTTCAATAGCTGCGATTTATATTCCCGTTCGGCTTAAAACACGTATACAGTATACGTATACACGCCAACAGCAAAAATGTAATACCAAAAAAAGTTTATATAACAAAGCGGGCTAAAACATTCTATTTATATATAACAGCAATACAATCTGATTTTAAATACCGAGAATTACGCAACTGTTTTGTCCGGATGTATAGAAAAATAATAATATGAGAAATGTGTGCTCTGAAGTCTATGCAAACTGTTGTCTGGGGGACGAAATCAGGTATCACAAAGGTAATTCCGTGGAGCCGTTGTAATTTCTTGAAATTGTAAAATTTCTCAAGCGCATGACTTTGCGTGCACGTGTACAGAAATTAATTAAGCAATTATAAAACTGGCTGCTGCGGGGTTTTACGATGACGGCCGCGGCCACATACCTAAAAAGCTACTTCCGTTGTAAAATCCTTGGGCTCTGTAAGAAAATATGCCGGCATCTGTTCAGGACAACCGGCTTTAATTTTTCTCTATTAAAAATAATGCCATCGCGCTGCAAATCAACGGAGTAATTGAAATTTTAATAATTCCATTATACCGTTGAGCGTGGATGTTATGCTGTGATACACCGGAAAGTCAAAAGTATCGAACTATTCACTCTCATATTAAAGAAGAAAAAAACTAAATTTGTAAACTTTTATACTTAAAAAGTGATTGCGATAATTAATATTAGTGATCAATATAATAGATATTTATATAGAATTTAATTATAAAATACTGAGAATAAAATATATTTTGTTGATGTTTTTACCTTATTAGATTGTTTATTCTAGCAAGCATATTGGCAGGTTGTGAATGAATAATAAAAGTTAAAAAAAAAGATTGTTTATTCTGTCTTTCATCAATGTGAAAAAGTTCATATTTTTATTTAAAACGTACGACTTTTACTAATGGAGAATTAAAAATAATTCATATATAAAATAATCCTTTAAAATATATTATTGTGGATATGTATATTAATGTATACTTTTGACATGAAATATATGTCTTTTATATATCTTTTAAATACGAATGTTTATTGATTACTATTGTAAGTAAATAGTCGTTAAACTGTATTTCATGATAAACATGCAAAATAAACCGTGAACAGGGCACATTCATAATTAATAGGAACGGAGATTAATGCTTGTTTCGCGTTACGCGCTTTATAATAATTAGAGTAATCGCGTCGATTTCATGCCTTTTTCCTACTGTAATAACCGAATCGCGGTTTTAATACTGTAGCAAATCTCGAATACTACATACTTTCAGCAGCCGCAGTTGGCAGTCATCAATCAAAAAATTTGTCACTCGGAGGGTTCATTAAAAATATGGGGGTTCAGTGTAATAATGTACAATTCCTTTTGGGATTGGGAACCTGGAAAAAGTTTCTTCGTTGCAAGATATAATACAAATTTATGGCCAGACCAGACCTTCCTAGTCGTTATAAATATATATATCCATCTAGTTTTTTTCTCCCTATATTTATACAGCATTGCAGGCATTATTAAAAACCATACGCATTTACTCAATAATTCTAATTGGTGCAAAGAACGTTTCACTTCGTATTGATCTACTTCCAAAATAGATAAATAAGAACATTAATAAATATTGAATTGATATCGAATATTGATATACAAAATAGCGTATTAATTGATACAATTGAAAAACAATAAATTTTCTCTATTTATTATATTAGTCTAAATTCCTATGGATATTTTAATGTTAGAATAAAACAGGAATTTATCTATATACACGATACTTATTTGAATAGATGATATTACAAAAAGACATGATATATATATATATGAATAAGCTCAACTATGTGGCTTTCTAAAATGATTATGATTTGTGACAAGATGGGAATAGGTAAGTGTATGTATTGTGAAAAAAATAGTGTATAGTTGTAAATTGTATAGAAATTTGATATAGAAATGAAGAGATGAGCAATATTAATTAATAACCGCGTAATTAATAGATGCTGGTGTAATAAGCTTACCGCCCCTGACTTCACAGGTAAGCACGAGATCCGATCCTTCCTCCAATGGTCCGACGACCCCGGTGACGTCACGTCCGGAATTATCGTAGACCAGAAGCTGATGGGGTGGAACTGCAAAACAAAAACCATTTAAAATCAAACGGCATATAATCGACGTCCATTGTATCGTGCAAACACACTAGAGCCATGTCCACAATCAATCACACCCCGGCTGCCCGGATATTGGATTAATCTGCAAAAGCTTCGAAATATCATTGTCGCATTCGAGCCGTCGACATTATTGTGCACTTGCAATTAATTTTAATTGAATTAAAACTGCATTACGCAGATAGGATTGAGTTATGCGCGTCAACACTCCATTTGCAATTGCGATTAATTCGCACAGAAAATAAAAAAGGAAAATGCGAGAATTCGTAACGTAATTAGCTGGGAATTTCGAGCACTGGCAGCGGGGTTGTTAATTATATTAAAATGTTCGTCAGGTCAGGCGGATCAAACGGCATACGGTTCTCGTACCTCTCTTCTACCTCTTGTGCTAGACAACAAGTCGGTGGGAAATTGTGGACTAGAGCGGAGCACTTAGCTTCAGGAAATGAAGTGGCCACCCGGTGACTTAGAAATTTCGCCTCTCGTCATATGCCTTTAATAAAACGCTGTATTACTACTAATACTGCTTCAACTACCGGAATCATTAATCTTGGCGAATGACAACCTGTGCGGCGAATTAATTACAGGAGAAACGGGCGTCTCTACGAAGACGGGTGGGGCGCAAAAATACTTGAGACGGAGAAAAAAAGGGCAGAGGAATCAAAGTGATATGTATAGGTGGAAATGAGATAAACCCGAATCCGTACCGAACCCTCAGCTACAAGCGCACAATAATTGCAAATTAAATTAAACAAGATAGTTAGTTTCTGCTTGGTCTGCACGTAGCCCGATAATTGTTTTCAGAGAAGCGATTTCCACTCGGTAATGAGTTTTGTCCCATCCCGCGACTTCCCCGAATCCATCCTTGTCCGAATCCACACCCCCATCGCGACCCACCATGTCTTTAGTAAAAATCGAAGATTTCAATTCATCAGTCCTATCGAAAAATCAATTTCATTTTCATATAATATAATAACTTGATTTTGTATTTCTATTAAGCATAACTTTAAGCCGATTCATTCCCAACTATTAATGGGCAATAAGTACATTTCTGATTCAAAATGAATAATATTATACATATTTGTTTCTACTATTTAAAATTGTTCCATCCAAATGTATATTAATTTTTAATTAATAAAATATAAATAATCAAAATGTAGTCATTACTTTAAGCATTAGTTTTTTTTGTTAATATATTTCGATGGAACAATTAAAATATTAATTAAAGCTTTGATGGAAATTATTGATGGATTAATTAACTTAAAAAACAAAGTATTTATTGAAATATTTGCCGTCATATTTGGATATTGGAATGGAATTTAATTTATCTAATGGAGATATGTAGGTAGTCAAAATTAGTAGGCGCAATTTTGGTGGCTTACTTTGCGGAGATTTTGAAATTCTCTCCGTAATTGTGGGTGTTCGGGTTTTAAGATATTTCCAGTACCTAGAAATAATATAAATATTTCCTCGCAAATCCAAAAAGGACGGAGGTTTGTGCATGAGCCTTATTCCGACGCACTGGTGAAAATAATACAAAGGATTCGTATGTTCGTATGTTTAACATTTTTAACATAACCTTCTAACACTATAACAACTAAATACCAGTTGTGATTCTCGGAACAAAAGTGGATTCTTAGTAATTACTGATATACTTAATCTGGTACTATTAATTATAATAATGTATATTAATTTATATATGTTAAGCTCGTTGATTTGAGTTGTCAAACTGTTATTTGTTTGTGTTTTTCATAAATAGTAGATGTAATTATAATATAATTCATGCTTTTGAATCTTCAATATTTGATTACACTGAAGCGGAAAGACTACTCGATTATATTGGTAATAAATGAAACAAAACAAAATATGTTTGTGTTCATGGAATATTGATAAAGTCATAACGACAACATTCAGAGAATAGCAGAATTGAACATTTCATGTTATAAACTGAAAGCATTTCGAGGGGGCGGCAAATGTGACCGGAAAATCCATTTTTTATCCGGCGCGTTGCATTATGAAAACCACCGAGGCGTAAGCTTTTCTCGATTTTTGCAAGCACCGCCACATTGTTATTTCGGCTGCATGCCGCCTCCCCATGTGGTATGTTTGAATGTTGGGGTGGACGAGCCTGACTGAAATTGAAATTTCATTATTAAAGTCGGTTCCCAGTTTTTTCTTCTCGTTGAAATAGATCGAATTGAAAAAATAGTCGTTATGCGTATTTAAATGCTAAAATAAAAAATATATATATATATATTAATTAATTATCAGATGTAATTCTACAATAAATTCTCATACGTGGACAAGTGTAAAAAAAACTAAAGTAGCCGATGGCAATTGAATAGCATTTTCGTAAGATGAAGTAATCCTCTCGTTTAAGGAAGTTTAAATGGAGCACAGGAAGTAATTAAATTCTTTGGAATTATCTACAATTTAATTTTAAATTCTTCACTGTCAACTGTTCCGACAATAAACATTTCGAAGCTGTAATCGCATAACATGTGCCGTTTAATTGCACTGCCGGAATTGAATTAGACTTTGTGAACATACAATTTGACTAGCAATTCCCTGCTATTAAAATATTTTATAGTAGTATATATTTATATGGCATAGTGTAGTGACAGTACTGACAGTTCCATCCTTTGGATTTTGACATTCATGGGTAAAATAATGATGAATGGGGGGAGAATTAACCGACTATACCGACTAAGTATATTTTATATGTTGTACTATCATACTATGAGCATAATGATCACATGGTTGTATTGGTTGTCATATGATTCCGATGATAATGATACTAAATAATACTTTACTAATTATTGACATCCTAAAATGCTTACCAATTACGGTTAGGTTGATGGCAAAATTCCTAGTTGGAGATGTTTTAAAGTCCACGCGGCAACGGTAAAGGCCTTCATCATCCAGTTGGACTCCATCCAATGTTAAAGCAGCTGGTTTTGCGACGGTAACAAAGTATGCCCTGGGTCCGAATATTTCTGGATCGGACCAGTGCAGTGCCTTGTTGAATGCTCTTCCTCTAACATCAAAACTGAAATGAATAAAAAATATTACACTCATTAAACATTATATATTTTATATTTAAATTTTAAATTTGTATGTGTATATATAAATTATAATAAATATTGTTATTATTTTGATATAAGAAAATATACTAATTTCTACCTACTATTATTATTACTTATGTACTATTATTAATTATAAAGTCTATTATGGCATATCGAAATGTAATCATATCAATACTTAGACTGTTTTCGGCTGAAGAAGTTGTATTATAAATGTAATATAAAATATAGAGAAGAATGGTTCCAAGAAATACAAAAGAAACATGTCAAAACAGTTTTCTTTCAATTAGAAGTCATCCGAAAAAAATATTATTCTTTTATTAAAGCGTTGCCACAAAAGGAAAGGAAAGGGCTTTACTTTACAAACAGAAAGTCCAACAAGCTAAAGAAAAACACCTAAATTTAGATTCAATTACTTTCTGCCTCTGCCGATTTTTAATTGGCATACGAAAGTATTTTTTAGCACAAGTAAATTAAGAAATCGAGGCTCCTGTTCTTCTCAAACGAAATGAGTAATTTTTTTATAAATGGAAATAAACTTAAATTTAAGAGAAAAAGATAATGGCAAATTTCATTAATGATCTATACTATCTTTCTAGATTATTAAAGCGTAAATGGAAGAATTTGATTGAATCAAAAGTCGGATACCGAATGGACCGAACGAAGAAACTGTCTGAATCGAGTTTCGTTGATGAACTTCGCTTCCAATAAACGAATTCATTGGGCAACATATTAGGTGCTTATCTGGAGGATGTGATGTCAATGTTGAGCAGTTGCCCGTCGATTGAATTGATTGGCATCTTGTATTTCTATGTATTATCAATTTTCTGGTAGGAGTGTGTGTATTCGACCATGGCACGATTTAATTTCGCGATGTAATCGCATTAGGAATGGGAATTCGGATGCTCCGACCGGACAGAAAATTCCCGATCCAGAAAACAGTGCACATCCATCTCTTCATACATACAAAAGGACTACGTACGAAACGTCAAATACCACTAAATCATTTTACGGATGAACTGGAATTATCGATGTTCCCATATTTCGTCAAGTCACTCTCCAGTTCTTCCTTTTTTCGCGTTCTTTTATTTCCGTCTCCGGACCTCACCTTTTCAACTCACCCTTTACAATGGAGACTCCCTCTTTGTCCCTTTGCGCTCTCCCACGAACAGTTACGTGTCATTGGTGTCGTAAAAATATACGAGCGCAATTCCGTTTGCAGCATATAATAATACCTATGTGTCTCTTGCTATGGATCGGATAGAGAATGAAACAAGAAAACGCGCAAAAAAGTATAGAAGAACGGGCCCGTCCGTATTCAGAATACAACTGGAATATTCATCGTTCGGTTATAAACTTTATTACGCAAAATATTCCAACCCAGCTTCCGCTGGATGCAGGCGTCGAAGTCTGCCCGTAAATTCTACATATTCGAAAAACTTTTCTCAGTCATCGTGTTACGTATATTTAACGTATTGAAACTAATTACAGTACACACATAAAACAATATAATTATTCAATTCTAATAAGTTATTAGAATTACTTTTTCAAAATTCGCAAATTAATTTTAGTATTTCAAAACACTGTATAAATTACAAAATTTCATCTTAAATTTTTTTTTCTATTAATTTAATGTTTCTTGTTTTCATTAGTAACCAAAGTAAAAGAAAGTTAATGCAAGAACTAATTAAGAGATGCAAATCAAATAATGACAATAAAAGTTAGTGGGGAAATGAGAAATTCACTCGCATAGCTTTGATGTACCTGGCATTTAGAACGAGCTAAAAAGAATGAAGTAAAATTGTATATAGGAACGCCAATTAAAAAACATGGAATATTACGTAAAACATACTTGTCATTCTTTATTTCATTATGTCATAAACAAATTTTGCGACAGGGAAATGAAAAAAATATCCATTTCAACCCGGCTACCCAAATTGACTCTTCTCAACTTCAACGCGATTTATATTTATTGAGTTTTATGTTTCAAGTTTATATTTTGCAAAAATGGTGTTTTGCCTTTTTTGTGGCAATTTAGAATTTGTTTGTATATAATTAAATAACCTAATATTATATCCATATGATATTATACCTATGATAACGATATCATAGTGTACTACTGAAATTAGACTTTGAAATAAAAAGAATAATATATTAATTACACTTCAGAGAAATAATTTTCTCAATATTTAAATTCATGATATTTTAAAAGATTACCATTGTCATTACTTTCAAAGAAAAGTTATTATTAAAAAGAAAATAAGTTTAAAGCAGGAAAGAATACATTGAATGTAACAAATTATAAAAGATTTCTTCCTCACATAATGTATTTCAAATATTTGCACGGAAGTTAATTATAATTTCTTTGGTGCTTAATTAATTAAGAAAATGAAAGCAAACACAAAAGAATTCTAAAGTTAATTTCGTAATTACGTCGAGACAAGATTCCTGATTGCACTCTGAAGAATACTGTCGAAATTAATAACAATTAAGGTAAAGTTAAGTTAAAATTTGTGGATTATGAATTAAGGGATTTCGGTAACTACGGCGCAAGCAAAATATGTTAATTAGCAGCAGCGGGAGGCGGATTAATTAGGTGGGCGTTTCTGGTTTCTAAAACAATGGCACAATAACACAATCTTCTCGCTTCGTAGCTTTTGGCCCATTGCACGCAGTGCCCGTTTTATGCAATCTAATGCTCTGAGCTGCAAGGTTAATTGCAACGGCGTTTAGATTAAATTGTAACAGCATGATAAATCCTTTCGCGGCTCGTGAACGCGGACGACGTAAAACGTCCCGGATTTAAATGGAAGATGGATATAACATACCAAACCAGATGAAAATAAAATCGTTTATCTTCATATTCCCTTCCAGAGGAATCTGAAATATTTTAATGAAGGCCTTGCTTTATAATTATCTCAATTTGTTAGTAGTTTTGTATTTCTTTTTATTTATCACATAGCATTTATTTATAATATTTAATATAAATTAAATAGTAGATATAGAATTATTTAACAATTGAAAGCCAACTTATGTGATTAAAATAAGCACTAATACAAATACAAATACTTTGAGCAATAAAAACTGTATTTGATCATTTCTAATTCTACGTTTGAATTTAACCTATGCGGTCTTGTAAATGATGCTATAAATAAATAGGATTAATGAGGAGAATTTAATTAGGCAAATAATATTAATAATCTTGACTGTCCCAAACTTCAATTCGTAATAAATAATTATGCACTAACTCACGCGGTTTCCGTTGCAGGCAAATATTTTATACCGCGCGGAGTAAATTAGTGTCGGCCATTATACAATATACAGACCGTAATTATTCCCCGACATTATTGTATAGGTATCAGGGCTTTAATTACGGCGAATGACAAATTTTTGGGAACTGTTTCATAACGATAATTGTGCAGGCGTACTAATACTGGTTCGATCTGGGCCCTCTATCAAACATACGATTATTTTAATTAGGAGCATGAACACACACACACACATACACACTCATATTCTCGCACGTTTTAACTCATACGTATACCTATATACAGATATGGATTGATGTGCAAACACGTGCGAAACAGCCCAGTACATTAATATAGCTAATTAGGGTGAGGTTCATCGTGGGGATTACAAAGGGTTATTGTGTTTAAGCTAGTCGAGTCGAAAGGACTGAATTATTGTTATATTCAACGTTAAGAAATATTTTGTATCAATATATATATATATATAAATATATAATGCAATAGAAGATAACTCAAGCATTAAATTTAAAAATTCTATTAATATGTAATTTAAATATATTATACAAAATCTATTAAAAACTGCGGCTTTAAAATATCAAAGAGAATTCAATGCTCTTATCAGAATAAGACACATTTCTTAAGTATTATCTTAATTAATATATATAAAATTGTGAACTTAATAGTGTGCTGATATGTATATATAATTATTAGGTGCAATGTGGATGGACAACTATATAATATAAATATTGATATATATATATATTATATATGCATTAATATTCATATAATAATTATTACATTATCTTTACCCAAATTGATTAGCCCAATTAGTCCAATAAGATTACGCACTTCGCAAATAGAAGGGAAATCTAATTAATGTCAATGTTCGCATTCGGGATGACATAAAATAGATGTTAAAATTGCGTAACAATTAGCGCCGAGACTTGGGAACTTCGGATTTGCTAAACTTCGAAACATGACATTATTTCTGGTCGCAAGAGGCGCGAAATCCTTAAAATCATCATGATTATTTCACGTTAAATCGAGGTAAGTCATCCAATGGAATCGAGTGCTATATTCAAGTTGGTCAATTTAAAATAAAACTGCTAGTCTGGTCTTCCTACACACCTAAATAAAAAAGAAACACATTTTACAAACTTTTGAAAGCACTTTACTCTTCTTGAATCTATTTGATTCGATCTTAGAAACCACATACTCAAACCCAAATCTCATACATTACTAATTTATACTGATATGGAAGAACAGAAGAAGTCACGCATTTACTATCATCAGCAAATGTATTTAGATGACGCAGTATTATATTAGTTTTTATATGATGAGTGATACAACTATATTATTATCGTATAAAATACAAACTATATAAATATTTTGTTTGTGGTTAATTTTCTAAACAGTTTTATTTAAACCTTAGATTCCTAACCAAATCTTAAGTAAATACTCGAAACGTACCAATGAAAGCATAAAAAATGTGGGGGTAATTATGTCGAAAACTGTGGGGACTTTTCTATTAGGACGACGGTCTTTATGGAGGCAGTAAAACGCCTGGCAGTAAATCACAATTACAAACTGGGACAACGCGAATAATCGCGGTTATCCAAGCCGGCGGTGCAGTTTGCGGAACGAGCGCAACCGCCACCGGCGCCTCCACCCAAAATACACCCACACGCGGCCATCTCCCATGTAAAGAGAACACTTGC